AATTCGCATTCCCCCGCTTCGCCTTGAGGGAGGAGTCGGCGACACGGGCCTCGAGCAAACTGGCCCGAACTGGGGCCAGGGGATCCATCCCAGTAGACAACCAAGGGAATCACCGTGCCCAGAAAACCAAGGGAACTGAAAGAATGATCCATTTACGCAGAAGGGAATCACCCTTCAACTTAAAGACTGGCTCCACCACATGGTCTTCCCAAGCATACATTCCCAAAAGGGCCACGCGAGACCAGGACTCTGCAGACAAAGCAAGGTCCTCCTTCAACCCAATCCGCCGGTAAAGATGTTGGAAAGCAAGAATAGGTCCAGGAGTGCAGGCGATCGGAATTCGTTTGCTACAATCCTGAATGTGGCTGACCTTTGACCAACCAAGGAAAGCGAACCTTTCCTATCAGCAAATTTCCTGTGAAGGGTGCTGAGCCTTGCTAGCTTGAAGACAGAGAGGTGATCAAAACTGCCAAACCTCGCGCTCTTCTCCCAAGGACAATGGCAAGATTGTCTTAGTCCCTTTTTCCCTCTGGTGGTGGCTTGGGCAGAGCGGAAACCAGTGTCGAACGAAATGTGGAAAGAAACAACCAGACCCTGGCTCCCTGCAAAGAGAATGTAACAGGAACCTGCTTGTGCATTAGTTCCAACATGTTTAGATCAGGGCTAACCCGTTGGCCCCAACCTGGTGGAAACGCAACAGCGCAACAGCGGCACGCCCGGTCCTGGCGCTACCATCAGCCGCTCTCGCCTCAAATGCGCCGGCATTCGAGTGCTTTTTGGTGCCTCGGTGCCTCTTGCCAAGGCCTCTGCGCCAAAAAGAAACCTCGGCCCAACCTTGGGGTAACACCAAAAACAGTATGGTCATGAGCAAAATCCAAATTGTACCCCCGGTGAACATCCCAATCCCCAAGAAAATCGACTAAAATGGGTGGCGCGCCTACCCCAGACATGGTACCATTGGTTTTGACCCACAGCCATATGTTGAGATTCTGTTCCATGGCTAACCTGAACACATAAGCTACTCTTCTGCGGAGAGCCCACTACCCTCCTCCAGCAATCACGGAAGCTAACAGGAAGGCTTTGGAAAAACAACTTTCCTTTCGGGCAAGACCTTTGTCCACTTCCATGATTGTTAGAAAGAGTACTCGCCCTCGTCGGAAAGACCCTAGATGAGATTTCCTCCGGGACAAAAAATCAATTGAAGATTGACCAGGCCCAAGTTACTTTCAACTGGTTTATTCTCCTCTTGTGAGTTCATGGCAACTTTGCGCTGTGCCCTGCGGCTCCTGAGGGTTCTCAGTTGATTGCGGGTTCGTTGATGAGTTCTTTGGGATTCTTTGTTCCTGGCAAGCGGGCAGGGCACAAAGCACTGGGCGCAGATTTGTGGAAGCCCTTTGTGGAACCCTTTCAGGTGCTCCCTGCGTGTCTCACAGGTTCCGAACCTAAGTCTCAGCCGAGCTCTCCTTTAAGGGCCGCGCGCGCTTGGCGGGCGGCCTCTCAGTGCCCTCGCTGGGCGCAGAGAAACGCCTCGCGCGTGTCGGGAGGGGGGAAAAACGGGAGGGAACGCAGGACTTTTGGACCCATTCAAAGCCTGAGTGTCATGGTCCAATGGTAATCAACCGCGACTTCTGGCCTGATTATAGGAATCCTGCCCCCAAAGAGTCCAAAAAAGGCCATGGATTCATGCGTGGATTTCTGAGACATGGTCAAAACTACAAAAGATTCCAGAAGAAAACGGGTACTTGTAGTGAGTGCCCCACGCCCCTTCCAAATTGAGTGAAAGTATTGACCAAGCCTCTTGTGGATAGGCTACTACATTGATGACTATTCTAGACAATCCCAGCAGATTGAAGACAAATCCGTCCCACCAAGATGAAAACCATCAGAGCGCCCCCTTTTCGGCCAAAGTGGCATGCTTCTGAGTTGTTCAAAGGTAATCTGTTGGCAAGTCATTGGTGTTACGGTCAACTACCCCCTCCAGCTGTGATAGACGTGGCTTCAACCGGGAGTCGGATCACTTTTCGCTGAGGCCGGGGTCAATATTGTCCTCCCAAAAGCAAAACGGACTCTGCAGGAGTCCAAGACCACCCGGGCTCCTTCATTCAGGTTCTTTGCGTGTTTCTGGGAGCCTCCCGCTTGCTCTTGCCTTCTTGTGGTTTGGTTATGCAGGATTCCGCCCTAGTCGTTTTCAACCACAAGAAGGGAAACGCAAAAGGGAGAATGTCTACCACAAAAAGAGGGGGGGCTTGATTTACTGCAATGAACGATCCTACAAGCATGGCAGCGTATTGTCAAACCCTTTCCGCTGACACGGAGATGGGCAGAGCAGATGGCCATCCCAGCGCAGTTAGACTATTTGGCCACGCCGATCTTTGGGCACCCCGTGCGTAAACACTGCATAGTGATACGTGGCCCCGGTTTTTGGATAGCTTTGAACGAAAACCAAGGAAGGCCCCACCCTTTCCACCAGAATCAAGTCCTGGGTAATCTCCGGGTCACCAGCCCCTGCGAAGGGAGGCCGACTTGGATGAACGCTCCGCTTAGTAAGTGGTTTGTCCGTTGATTCGTGGGCCCCCTATCATCTACCCCTACACGTCATGCACTCAGGGGGCCTGGTCATAAAGTGGCCCACGTCTTGTCGGAGCAAACTTGCTGCAAAAGGAAACTAATGGAAAGCGAAAGGAAAAAAACTTCAAACCCGTGTCCACAGGGAACTGCGTAGCTGTTTTGCATTCGGTTCTACTTCTGACAGTTACGCGACTGGTTAGGCACCAGTACTGGTTTCCAGTTTACCATACAGTACTGGAGGGGCTCACAACATGGTAACCCGTTTAGACACTGCAAAAAAAATGGCGCCCAACGACACCTTTCAAAACGAGTCCCCAAGGCCGGAGCCTGGGGTACGCTTTTGGGCTGGTTTTTGCAGGAAGCCAAAAACAGGAAACCGCCCATTTGGGCGGAGGGGGGAGCGGTGTGGTCCTTGTAGAGACCAATCCATTTTGGGCGACCCCCGCTTGGTTGCGACAACTCGCTGGGCTGCCGGCTTGAGGCCGGTCGCCTTTGCCACCTGTGCCGCCAAGAACATGCAGCCGAGAAAGCCCGAGTTCAGTGCCGATGTGTCTTTTGCTCTGCGCAGGCCTGGCTAAGTATGTGAGAGGTCGTCAAATCTGAATCACAACTTTGGTGAGGATGCCCAGGGTCCGAAGGGACCGGCCATCGCAGTGCAATCCGCCGACCCCATGCCTGGTCCAGAATGGACCATGCTTTCGGCATGGGGGCGGTGTGTTCTGTGTTGCTTTTGTTGATATGCTTTCTATAAGTTTAATGTGAATATGATTATGTAGATATATATATATATATATATAACCTATATGTCCCTTGGGGCGGCCCTTGGGGCTGGTTTCTACGTCTGGCTGGATTTCTGGATTTCTGGATTTCTGGATCTCTGGATTTCTGGATTTCAGGAATTCTGGATTTCCCCACCCCTCCCCCCCCCCCCTCCCCCCCCCCCCCTCCCCCCACCCCCTCCCCCCCTCCCCCCCCCTCTCGGCTTCTTCCAGTAGTCTTTCGTAGTCTTCCGGCTTCTTCCCGTAGTCTTCCGTAGTCTTCCGTAGTCTTCCGTAGTCTTCCGTAGTCTTCCGTAGTCTTCCGGCTTCTTCCCGTAGTCTTCCGAAATCTTTCAAGCTTCTTCCCGTAAATTTCCGCAATCTTTCGGCTTCTTCCCGTAGTCTTCCGTAATCTTCCGGCTTCTTCTCCTAGTCTTCCGATACTGTTTCGGGACCAAACAACGCGCGGTCCTGTGCTTTCGGGCTTCTTCCCTAGGCTTCGGGTAGTCTTCCCCCACCCCTCCGCCCCCCCCCTGTGTCTGTCTATGTCTGTCTACGTATCTGCATCTGTCTTCGTGTCCGCGAAGACCCCCCCTGCCCCTGCGTGTCTGTCTGTGTCTCTTTGTGTCTGTCTGGGTCTGTCTGCGTCTGTCTTCGTGTCCGCGAAGACCCCTTGCGTGTCTGTCTCTGTCTCTGTCTGTGTCTGTCTGTGTCTGTCTACGTATCTGCGTCTTTCTTCGTGTCCCCCCCCCGCGTGTCTGTCTGTGTATTTGTGTCTGTCTGGCTCTGTCTGCGTCTGCCTGCGCATCTGCGTCTGTCTTCGTGTCCGCGAAGACCCTCCCCCCCCGCTGCGTGTCTGTCTGCGTGTCTTTGTGTCTGTCTGTGTCTGTCTACATATCGCGTGCTTTCTCTCGTCCCGGGCCGAAATTCTAAGGTGTGTGGGGGCGGCGGAACCAGGCCGCAGGCCATTAAATATCCATCGGCTGTCTTTCCTTTTGGCTGTCCCTTTCAACAGACCCAAAAAGGCCCTCCATTTTGCAGATAAGTCATGCTAAGTTCACCAGACCCCGGAGCAAGCTCGGCTTGGGGTGCCCATTTTTCTCTGGCAGTGCTGGTAGCCCTGGCAACCGTGAGCATAGCGCGCGTGACGACACTGGCAACCTTGCTACGAAGAGCAACTTGAGTCGGGAACATTTGAGTTGGCAATGACCGCCAGCAGCAATCTGTGGGCAAAGCACGTCCAAGCATCGGCTTCTAAACTGGGGCCCTCATGCTGTGCGGAGCCTGGCTGATAAACTATTATGGTCCAAGGGCCACCCTCTTGGCACCAACAATCAACCAAAACTAAGAAGCCCAAAACTCGAACGCTGGGCAAGTCTTTTCAGCTGTGCGTTGCAACGGATGGGGGCATTCTGATTGCAAATGCTCTTCACAGCTTCTCGGGCTTGCTTAAGACAGTGCCCTTCGTTTACTTGATCCTCGTAAGGTACGGAGCGGGTCCATGGGCCGTTCAGCGTCTTTACATTGGCAGCAACCCTGCCTCTCTTTTTTTGTACCTCCATTTCGCCTTTCACTTTACACAAAAGCGCGTGAAGAACTGAAGAACCGGCGGGGCCAACCACCGACCGGCTCCAATCCTTCGCCACCCCCAGCCCTTCGCTGCGGCCCAAGCTGCCGGCGCCATGCCGGGCCGCGGGGGTGGCCCCGCGGGCGGCCGCGGCCGCGCGGCCGGAGACGACGGCCTCTCCGGGAGAGGCGCCACGGCACGGGACAAAAAGCGACCTATGCTCACCTCACAATGCTGCACGCTAACAAGTTTTCAGACTCGGGACAGTCTGGGAGTTGGCTAAACGGCTAGCAACCGTGGTACAAGGGTGCAATTGGGGGTACGCAACACCTTCACTGACTGCTGGAACTTCTGAGACTGTTGAGTACTACTTAGACTATCTCCAAAGTTGCGGCGGTTGGATTTCAGCCTTCGATGCGTCAGATTCCCTGTCATGTTCAATTCGTGTGAATGCTGCCAAGCCTTTTTGAGGAAATGTGTCCTTAAACATTTTGCCGTCTACAATTCCTGTTGCAGGGCTCATGAAACCAACCCCCAAGGAAAGAAGGGTTGTGTGGCCCGATATCACAATGTTACAAAGGTTACATACCCTATTTCGTTTTGGGGTGTTCCTTCCGGGGGGTAGTGGAAAACCTCTTATAGACAGCAGGGTTCCCCACTTGTCCTCTTTCAACATCACCCACCAAAGTGAAACTCAATCATAACTGGCAAGTGCAGTGTGTTGAACCACTCTTGCCCGGGCAAGTCCTGCATGGATTGTGTTTTGAGTTGGCCCTTTGCAGGTTGGCAAGGGAACGCTACAAAGCCACCCAGGTTTGGGCTTCCTGACGCGTACCCGTTGACACCCGGCTTCCCGCTTCGCCTGGCAGGCCTCGCAACGCCCAGCGTGCCCACGCTGCCGCGCACCGCCAAGCCCGGCCTCAAAACTGAGGGAAGGGCGCGCGGAGGGGAGGCGGGGGAGGGAGGGACGTCGGGGAGAGTGAAACGGAAAAAGGTTGGGGTACTTCCCTTCTCAAACTCGGGGAACGCCCCCGCCCCAAACTGGTTGGTTTCCTTTTGGCGTCTCGTTCAGAAACCAAGCAACGCGGGTTTGCCTCTTCGGTATTTCCAACAGAATTGGGGTGCCCTTAGCATGAATGGTTTCCTCGTTGTTTCCTCTAAAACATGCAAGGGTCTTTGCTCGCCAGCGGCTTCGCTCCCAGAAAATATGTGGAGAGAGAAAACCAAAAAGTTCGAGACCAAAACAAAACAACTGGCCTTCACCCGAGAGATTGATTCAACAAAAAGATATAGAAACTCAGACTTTGACACACCCTAGTGACAAGACCCAGCACTAGGAACGCATCTGGTGGACCTGTGTGCAGCTCAGCAAGTCGTAAGCCATAGTGGAGAGAAGATTAGAGCCCAGTCTCCCTGCAACTGATGCTCACTGAGTGGCCAAACCAAGATTCAAGTTTTTGTGTACCACTAAAATTGTCCTCCACCGGCGTCCTCCGGAACCGGCCCCGTCAAGTCACCTTCTTGGAGGGAACCTTCTTGGACAACTTGGCGCAGACATGCCGAGGAACGCGGATCGGTCGCTTGCTCTATTGCAATGAGATGCTTGCGGCAGTGCACTTCCTGCACGGCTTCCTACTTTCAGCCGGTCATTTTGCCCTTCGTGCGGTAGACACTGCGTAACTGTTGGGATGAGCTGGCAATACATGAGGAATGTTTAAACCACATATGCTTAGGGATCCCCAATGGTAGAGATGGTCATAGACCCCTTCGCGGTAAGAATCTCATTGGCGTCTTCGGAAATAACTCCGAAAGGGTGCCATGTTAGACCAGTATCGCAGTCTGGGTGCCAGCTGGCCCAAGCCACTCGTTCAGGGACGACTGTTTTTTCTTGAGGGCTCCAAAGCCCCTTCCCATATTGGCCCAACTCATACCAAGTCTTGTGTACAACCCCAAATTATAAATATATCAATTATATCATATGCTCCTCCAAAATCGAGAACGATCTTGTCACCATGGCACATATAGGGCTAATTCATGGTTGGTGTTCTTTTGGCTTCCCTTCAAAAAACAATACAAAAAGGGGCCTCTAACCTTCCTTCCGACAAATCGAAACACCCCTATAAACGTACTACCTACAGAAATGGTGGTCAGTCAAATTGGAGACACATCGAAACACCTAATATAAACGTGATACCTACCGAAAATGACCCCTCTGCCAGCTGCCAGCCCTTTCCCGGGCTCCCGCGCGCAGAGGGCGCCGCGGCGCGGCGCGCCTGGGCGGCGGCGAAGGGGAGCTTCTTCACGGCGCTCGGCGACTGAAAGGCCTGCACCTGGGATGGCGGGGCAGTGCCTGTCCTCGGTTCCAAAACAACCTGGAGGATCCTCTTTTTCTACCTGGAGGATCTTATTTTAGCACGGAAAACTGGGTAGTCCGCATCCTCTTTGAAACTGAACCCGGAGGAAATCAGTTTAGCACGGAATTCTCATGTTAGGAGGCTCACCTCGTTTCGTCCTTTCGGCTATTTGAACCCCAGCCGAAAAGGACTTTGGCACGCCGCCAAAGGAAACGTCGAAAAAAGCAAAGCTTCCTTCCCAGTGATTTTATCGCAAGCTGCTTCAAAACCCATGTCTTCTTAAGTAGAACTTTTCTTGAAGTTCCAGCCATCACAAAATAGAGGTATTTCTCAAATAGGAGTCCCCTTTTGGACAGTAAGGGGAAACCGAAACAAGACCAGCCTCCTGAAGGGGTCCCCAATTTTGGAAAGAAGAACCAGCTTGTATATATTTTCAAGGCTTCTTGGACAGTCAGGGCCAGTTGGAGTCCCCCCCCTGGGTCATCCTTTTTGAGCCTGCCTTTCGGCAGACGGTGCCCTCAACCGTCTTTTTGGAGGGGGGACAAATTGCCTTCAAGAGGAGTGTGTCTTTTGGAGGCGCAACCCCTTGTTGGCTTTAAAGTGAAACTGGAAGGAAACCAACATCTTATTTTTTGGGGCTCCCCTAATTTTGAGACAGACCTAGCAGTGTAGTCTAAAGTGCGTGGCTGCCCTGAGACGCGAGACAAATATCTCCTGAGACATTCTTAAGTGAGAAGTGTCTGCAAATGAGATTCGGGTCAGACCACTCCCTTTCTGCTGTTACCTTGGGCGTCTCCTCCTGGCTGGCACCTCCTGGATCGGAGTCCAAGAAAATGGGCACCATGATTCGTGCCCTTCAGGTGTGCTTCCTCTGTTTGCCTTGTCGAAACCAACGCCGCGTGCTTGAAGCATCACCCCAGAAAACCCTCACCTAAAATCCCGCGAGCCGGGCCCCGGGTCGCCTCCTTTTCGCTTTTGAACATAACCTCGCGCGCCTGCGCTCGCAGCGCCGTCATCACAGGGCCCTTCTCCGAGGAGTGCTGGAAGTTTTTGATGAGATGGAGCTTCTTGGCTGGGGTCAGGCGGGTCATTAGCAGCCTGGCCGGGCATGCCTTGGTTTCGGTCCTGAGAAGGGTACCCTCAAGAGAAATGCCCACCCACGTGAGCCATCAAAATGAACATAGAGCCGGAGAAGCCGGTGGTCGGAAGCTTCCAGAATTTTACAAACTATGGCTATGTTATGACTCATGTTCTTCTTTTGCTTGATCTTCTTCTTTCCATGTTCCATGTTCATTGGTTGTGTTGTTTCCACATGTCCTTCTTTATCTATTTGTTCATTTGTTTCGCTCTTTCTTTCTTTCTTTCTTTCTTTCTTTCTTTATCCATTTATTTATTTCTTTATTTTCTTTCGTTATTTCTTTCTTTGCTTAGTCATGTTATGTGTGCTTTTTTTCTGAATTGTATTTCTTTCGTTCTGCCTTTGTTTATGTATTTTCTTTATTTATGTTGATAGTTCTTTCGTTATTCATTTAATTTATGTCGTTATTTGTTTATGTCTTTCGTTCTTTATTTCTTTGTTTAGTTGTTGTTTTTCTTTCTTCCTTCTTTCTTTCTTCCTTCTTTCTTTCTTTCTTCCTTCCTGCCTTCCTTCCTTCCTTCCTTCCTTCCTGCCTTCCTTCCTTTCTTCATTTTGTTTCTTGTCTGTAGTTCTTTCTTTTCTTTCTGTCTTTCGATTTACAAAACGATATATCTATTGATGTATTTATTTATGTACGTAATTATTTATTTATTTATAAAATTTATGTATTTATTTATTTATTTATTTGTTTATTGTGTATCTATGTCTCTCTCTGTCTATCTATATATCTGTCTATCTGTCTGTCTGTCCGTCAATCCGTCTATCTATCCATCTCTCTCTGGTCTATCTATTTATCTATCTACCTTGCTTGTCTGTCTATCCATTTATCTATCTATCTATCTATCTCTTGACATATTTATCTATCTTTCTATCTTTCTACCCACCTACAACTATCGATCTAGCTCGCTATCTGTATCTCAACCTATCTTATTTCTCTCCATCTATCAACCTAACCCCCCAGCAGGCACAAACGCGGAAGGCTGAAGGGGCCCATAGAATTCTTGGCCAATGCCGGTGAGAGGCAGAGAAAGCTTGGCTGCGGAAAAGGGCCCCAAGCCAACCCGGCTCTAAGTGCGGTGGTTCCTAACAATGGAACAGGATACAAGATGGGGCCACCAATGCTAACCGAAGCTAGCTGGCGCCACGGGGCAAATCTCCAACAGGGTCGCGTGGTTTAAGGTGCCCATTCGCTTTTCCTGTTTGGCTTTGGGCACAAGATTGGGTTGCACGTTCCAAATCAACCCACCCGAGGTTCAAGTCATTGGCCGCATCCAGCTAAAGATCGCAATGCTTTGAGCAGCGCATCTTCAAAGTCTTCAGGAGTTGAAACTTGGGGGGAGAGGAGTCCTCTTTGAAGACTTTGGGTCAGCCTGGTGTGTCCAACATGTACTTCCTTCATCTAAATCCAAACAACTTCTGGAAAAAAAGGGGCTGGTCGCATCTGGAGCAGTCAGTCCGTGGCACTGTTGCAAGAGATGGCCACACACAACTGCCTTTAGGCGTCCGCAAGCGCCGCCGCCACCACCACCACCACCACTACGAGACAGGTTTGAACTTCGTTTCTCTAACAGCCAATGTGTCCTCCGATCCGCACCTGGCTTGAGTCTCGTGGAGATTCCACCTGACGGGAGCGGAAAAAAAGGCCAGCCCTGCATTACATTCCCACAAACGCACCTGGGTCCCTCAAAATGGGTACCCTCAACACAACACACACACACACACACACAGAGACACACACACACACACGCAGAAACACGTGCAGAAACACATGCAGAAACACTCCCTTGCCTTGTGAGAGAGATGATGAACAAACATCTGTCCGCCTTCAGGCCTGTGATCTTCCTGAAGCGTCAGTACTCCAAAAGACGTGAAAGCAAACAGTCAATGGTTTGCAGGTTGCCGATGAACAAAAACGACCAACGCAAACAAGAACAACTGATCAAACATGATTGGAAAACGGAAGAACTGGTGGTTGTTAGTGCTATGCTTGCTTCCAATCGTCCGGGCATTGCCGTCAGTGTGCCCAACGGGCTGGAAATCGACCATTGCTTCAACCCCCTTCTCCCAGGCACTTCCAAATTGCCAGGGCTCTAAGGGTTGTGCTTGGAACGGCGTCAATTCCAAGCAGTTGAAAATCCCCTGCCGTCGCAGGAGTATTCCACATGACCCATGGCTGTGCGTCAAACTAGAGGACCCTTTGGGCCCTGGGCCTCCAAAAATCGAATATACGATCTACGCCATAACTGAACAGAGAAGGAACCCGCAACAAAAACAACGCCGAAGTTTCGGCATCTCGTTTTGGGATGGCCCCTTCTTTGTCATCCTCTTGTTGGAAGGGGCTTCCTTTGCCAAATTCTGACAATTTTCCAGCAACCCAAAAAAAGGAATCCTGGGGCCGGCGCAAAGCTTGGAAATTCTGAGAGGCAGGATAAACTAAGTTGGTTTGAGAAGCTGGTTTGAGGTCAAGCTGGTTTGAGAAGTACCCAAATATCAAAATGCATGAATCATGACATGCAATGACTTGCCAGCTACATGGAGCACCAGGAAGGCCCTCTATCTCTCCTCCGAAAAGGCGCTACACGCTTTTCTCCATGTCATGTCCCCACCCAAATCCAGCCTGGCACAACACGAGCCCATCTGTCAGCAAGGAGAGATGCAGCCCCCCCCCCCCGCCTGGTGATGAAGTTGTCCACCATGGCGTTGCTGGGGCCCTCCTCCTCCTGCTCCTCCTTCTCCGTCCGCTTCATCCGCCCAATGGGCGGAGCTGAAGGCTGCCGGGGCTCCCGCGGCTCCCGGAGCTCCCGCGGCTGCGGCTCCCGCGGCTCCCGGAGCTCCCGCGGCTGCGGCTCCCGCGGCTCCCGGAGCTCCCGCGGCTGCGGCTCCCGGGGCTCCCGGAGCTCTCGCTCGCGCGTCGGAATCCGCTCCGGCCGCCTCTCGCGCAACCAACCCCACCACAAAGCAAAAAACACACAGGACTGCCAAGAGTCATCTGCTTCTGTTGGCTTGCGTTTCAGGTGTGATCACGGCCTTTTGCCTTACCTTTGAGCTCCTTTAGCTTGTGCCAGGTTGCTTTCAGAAGACTGTGGGCAGGTGATTTGGGGTCCAGAAATCGTCCAAACCAAAGATCGCAAATCATCTGAAATTATGAAAAGAACTCCCTGCTATGAAAGGACCCCATTTCATGCGCCGCTTCCTCTGCTTTACTTCATCCAGAAATTACGGACTCATGCACCAGGCTGAATTGAAAGCTCCCCAAAAAATCTCGCTCTACAGAATCTATGCAGTTGTTGGTAACTTGATTGGATCATCCCGCTGCACAAAAAGCTTCTGCGAGCTACTTCACTTTCACCCGCCGATAGAATGTAAGATGTATCCCAACTGCCCCCATCAACAAACTGACTCTTGATAGCGGGCAACAAATCAACAGAGCGGAAGGAACCATGCCTGACCTCACCACAAAAGCTGCACGTGCAACGAAACAGCCGATGCGATTTGACAATATAGGCTACTGATTCTCTGAAAGAGTGGAACCTCCAAACAGGCCCCATGCAACTTAAGTAGCAATACGTGCCAAAATAGGGACCCGAAAGAAAATGCCGGCTTGCCTGTTGGGTTTCCTTTCGTGCCCGCCCACAAGAAGTACCCTCAACAAAGCACACATCCACATGATCAAAACAGCCATGTGCAGGTCAACAGCACAGCTTTACAAATCAGCGGCCCTGAAACATCCATGTGGTTTCCACTGAGAACTCATTGAGCAGCTCTACTAACAAACGATTCTTGGGTGAGTCTACCCGTAGAGCAGCGTTGATTGCTGTGTCAGTTCAACCACACATCTCAGATTTCCGTGTTTGTTTGGTTCTCCGGTCGAATCGGCTCAAGCCGATCTCGTCAACAGGGGCACACGGAGGTTGGCAGAACCCACAAATCGCCTGGAAGGGCAGTCCTTGGATCAGGTAATAGACGGACCCCCTATATTACCCTCACCCAAGGAGCCTCACTTGAAAAGGGGCTCAAAGCCAGAGGGGGAATTTCGGCTTCAAATGAAAGCAAGAAGGTTTGCCCCTGACCTGAGGCTGACACCCACCCCATGTCAACAACTGAGCGCAAGTTTTGAGCGGAGGTCTCCAGTTCTCCAGAGGAGGAAGGGGTCCACCCTGACAAAACGGGGGAGGGGGGGGTCACGCAGATCCACTTCTCCTGGATTCCCCCCACATTTCGGGAAAATCAGCTATCTGTCCCCCCCCTCCCCCACCCCCACCCCAAGAAGAAGCAAAGCAGATCTTAATGTCAGGCAGTGGGAGAATACTCTTCATACACCTCTCCAGGATTGTAGGATGCAGTTGACATTAGCAAACGATCCGCCTGATCCATCTTGCCCCCTTGGAGGGCTGGTTTCTCAGCTCCCGAGGCTTTGCCGGCCAGTCGCCTGACACCCCGACATGGAAGCGGTTCGAACGAGCCTCGGAGCCTTCGCAGCAGGGGCCTGGGCTCTGCTTCGAAATTCGGCAGCCCCGCCAAACAAATGCGGAAATCAGGCACCTCCAGCCGGGAAATCCAGCTGCAAGCGACAGCAAACTGGGCATTATATACATATATATATATATATATATGTGGTGTATATATATATATATATATGTATATATATATATGACTCTTCAAAGCACCACATTGGTGCTACTGGTACCTTAATCGCGAAACGGTGCATCCTTTACGCCGCATAAGGATTAGTGCCAAAATGGGAGGATTGCCCAGCTCCACTGGGCAGCTCCCCTCAGCAGCTGATGGGAGTAGAATTGATGCCACTCCCACAGCGAGGGAGGAATCCTCCCACCTCACCGGATGCCCTCCCGGCATCATGGGTGAGGAAGGAAAGTAGCGAAGATCAGCTTGATCAATTCGCTTTCGACTGAGGGGAAGACCCGGTTCTCAGTCGGAAATTGCGGGTCCGGATGAGTAAGTTCATCCGCCCATGTGTTAAAGTCGCGCTTCACATGCGACGGTCCTAACATGACCTGGTGGTCATGCAGTGTTAACACAATTTCCATGAGGATGGCCGCATTGGGCATCCTGCGAGTGGAATCGTTAAGCAGGGAGAAAACGTTTCCCTGGTTATCACTAGCAACCAGAATCCTAGTGTGAGAAGCCGAGCCGGCTGCACAAAGCAGAACAGCCCTCACCAAAAGGAGGAGGCCGAAGAGCTCCAAGGCCGCTATCGCCCGCTGCGGGTCCCCAGTAGTGAAGGCCCACGGCTCGCCCTCCGGTGTGATTCTGTGTTGGAACCACTTCACTCGGGACTTGTCGGGGTTGGGCACGTCCGAGCACCAACCACCAACCCATGCATGGTCCGCCTGTTTGCCAGCTCCCGCATCAGATGCCCCCGTCCATGGAAGTGTGGGAGCAAATGGAGATGCCAGTGGGAACCTCTGGTTGAAGAGCTTCCCCAGAAGGATGGCCAGAGCACGAACCAGCTTCGGTGGCCTGCCCGAAGTGGTGCAGGCCTTCTTCCAGCTCCAAAAGGGCTGGAGGAAAGGTTTCGTCAATGGACACGCCGAAGTAGCCCATTGAATCCGGCCCAGGGCTTGTTCCACCTCCTTGCTGGTAAAGATGTCCCCCTGGGCCAGCCGTTTGAGAGTGGCCAGGATTATGACGTGCTTGACTGGAGCCAGCAGCACACAGGGCGTGATTGGGTCCACCACGAATCCCAACCAGGTATTGACCGGGGAGAGCGCCGTCTTCTTCCAAGAAAGCGGGACTCCCAGCGCCAGAAGAGTGGCCAGGATGGCTGTGGCGTCCCAGTCCGCCCTGCTGCATCTGAGGACCCAGCAGTAGTCGTCCACAAAGACTAAGTGCCAGTCCACCTGAGGGAAGATGTAGTACAAGAGTCTGAGCACCAAGGATGCCTTTCTTCCCCAGTACAGTTGTGCCGAGGCCATGCCGTACGTGCCCACTCTATTGACCCACCACCGGTTCTGGATGCAGGCCACCTGGTATTTCCAGTCTTTCTGGAGCACTTTTATGCGCCTGTGGGCCTTGGTGACATCCGCCTTGAGGATGATGAAGGTTTCCCCCTGTGTCGGCGGCTGCCACGTCAGGGGTTCCCCCCTGCTCCCCCCAGGGCGTTCCGTGCCTGGGGGGTTGGGGGGAATGGGGCCCTCCTATCAGGGCCCTCGGCACCTGGGAGTGGCCCCTTCCCTGAGGGTGTTGATCGCGGAGAGACGTCCAGGCCGCCAGAGGTCTCCATCATCCGCCTGCCCCTATCGGGCCCTCGGCACCTGGGGGCAGGCTGGTGCTGTGGGGGTCCCCCTCAGGGCCCTCGGCACCTGGGGACTGCCCCTGCACCGGCTGGTGAACATCCCGAGGTTCCTCATCAGTGCCCGAGGATGGGGCTCGGAGTAGGTGAGGATGGTCCGCATGGAGGCAGTCTCCAACCATCGGTGCGGTGGTCTTCTCCTCCGTGTGAGCCTGGATGTGTGCGTTTGCTCCCCCTTTTGAGCCATCATAGATCGTCCTGATCTTGTCCGACTCATCAATCCCTGCAAGGGGGCCCGGGCAAAGTTCCTCCGGTTTGCAGCGGCACCTCTCTGCCGCCTCGGAGCGAGTGAAGGGCCCGTCCACCATGTCCAAGGCTCGTTCCTCGTAAAAGGTTGATTCGATTTCCTTGGCAAAGAGTTCAGCCGTTGGGTAGTTATCATGAGCCACTGGCGGGGGGGGATCTTCCCCCAGCCAGGCTTCTCCCTTAAGCTCCTCCTTAGTGGGCCAAACTCCCGGGGAGGTCAAGGTAGGGTCCGAGACTCCCAAGGGGACCCCCTCTTTCAGTGTTAGGGGGAACTCCCAATCAGGGTCACCTGAAAGGGATGCCAAGTGCGACACTAAGTCCAGGAGGAAGGGTTGTCCTGGGCATCGTTCATGGAGGTGCCTCGGTCCTAGGATAGCCCGCAGCTCCTCGAGGTCGGCTTCCTGGAAGGGGTGTGTGGTGGCACCTGATGCCAGGGACATTCGGACCTTGTCAATCCAGGGCCGGGTAAGGGTCATGATCAGGGCGCCCAAAGTAGCCAATGGGGAAATTCTCCGAAAAGGGGGGTTGAGCCTCCCTGGGGAAGGTTTTCCCCCCCCATCCCTCAGGGGGCGTGAGCGGAAACCCAATTGGACAATCGCCACCCGGTCAGTGAGGTGTGGGACCCTGAAAGCGGGCAGGCATTCGGGGCGGTCCAGGACCTGGTCCCCCTGTCCCTCCTTCCCCAGTTGTTCCGCATCTCCGGCCATCGGGGGCATGGGAGATGGGAAGTCTGGGTTCATTGTTCCACGAGGGCTTACGGTGTCTGCCTCAGGGTGGAACTGCCCGTGCAGGCGGGGCTTCGGGGCGTTCTTGCCTCCGGGCTTTGAGCCCTGGTGTGATGAGGAGGGACCGCCTCCTTGACTGGGCCCCCGTTTTCCCCGGGGGGAATGGCCTTCCGGGGGGTCCGACCCCCGCCCCTTAGGTGGTTCCTTGGGGTTTCCCGGAAATTGTGAGGGGATCCGGATGTGCCCCGGCGCTGCGAGTGACACAGCGATGGCTTTGGCCAGGCCTGCCATCATATCCCAAGGGTATCTGCTAAGAGTCGAGGACTCGTTGGTGCCCACATGTGACTGATGCGTGCACCGCATTTGATCCCAGTCCTGGATCGGGAGATCCGTGGCCAGCGTAGTGGCCTTCTTGACCAGCTGGCCCAGGCGGCACTGGTCGAAGGAGATTGCTGTCAAGGAGTTCTCCTCCATCCAAAGCTGCCCCTCCTCTGTGATCCAGAAGGATGAGCATTCCTTGGCTTTGGGCAGCGAGCTGCTCACCACTGGGTCCTCCGGGTGTTCCAGGAAGGACCTGGGCCCTGGCAGAGAAACCGCCGCTCGTGAGGCCCTTGCCAGGCTGGTGATGTACATCTGTCTCAGAATGAGGATGCTGTCATCATCAAGTTGAGTCTGGGCGGCCTGGTCCAGGTGTGGAAGGCCCCAAAGTGTCTCTGGAGTGCGCCCTCGCACCGGGGTGGGAGCCCCCGGTTTTGGTATGTGGCGCAGGATGGACCATGTCCTGCAGTTGGGTCCTCCTCCAATGAAGACCACTCGGCCCTGCTTTGCTGCCGTGCAAAGAGCTCCATACAGCTCGGGTTGGAGCATATCGTGGTCCCCTTTTGGTCCAGACCGTAGGATGTCTACCGCCACCACCATGCTGGAAAGGTGTGGGTAGTTGGCATGAAGACAGCTGTCCAAGGAAGTTGGGTCTTCCTTGCCTGCATAGAGCAGGACAATGATGGGCCCACTGGATGGAACTTTGGGCGATGTGCCCTGTGTCCATCTCAGCCGCTGTACCAGACGCTCAGGGATGTTCTCCATCCACGGGAAGATGTCCAATCCCGGTGACGGCTCCGTTGGACTTGTCAGGGGGGTAGCTGAAAGGCGTTGGCCCCCTTCATTCAGCCCCACCGAGCTCTTGTGGAAAACCACCGGGTCCTGCTTGATGATGTTGGGCGCCGGAAGTGGGATCGGCTGCTTCCTGGGAGTGTCCCTTGGCGTTGCGGTGTGCTGCCAGTCATCCGGCACTCGGGCCTTCTGGGTGCGGCCCCCCGTGTCAGGGCCCTCGGCACCTGCGGGGAACCGTCCCGTCCCCGCCATATCAGGGCCCTCGGCACCTGTGGCTCGGGACTGAGGCGCCGCCGTTGTGCCGGTTGTGTGGCTGTTCTGATCACGGCGAGGGCGTTGTGCACGCTGGTTCTGCCGTCCCCATCCTTGTTCCGCCGAGGATGGCCGCCACCTGGCCTGTCCCCCCCCTGTGTCAGGGCCCTCGGCACCTGCAGGAGGGGGCTTCTGTGCCTGCTTGGGGCGTTTGCGCCCCTTCTCGCCCCCCCGGGCCTTATCAGGGCCCTCGGCACCTGAGGCCTCCCGGGGGGTAGGGGTCAGCGCCCCTAGTCAACCCGGGCAGTCCTGCGGGAGGTGGTCCCCCAGGCAGATGCGGCCCATTGCCAGGATGAGGTTGGACTTGTGGGTGCGGCCGCAGTTGCCCGGGCAGCGCCCGCGCATCCAGTTGTTACAGAACTGGTTCCCTTTCGGGTCGGTGGCTGCCTGCTTGTTACCGCCCCGGGACGCCTGATTGTTCGGGTGGGGGGTCTTACCCTTCCCTTTGTTCCCAGGCTTGCCCTTGGACTTCCCCTTGTCCTTGGACTTGTTCTTGCCCTTCTGAGGTGGTGCGTAGTCCATGGATGTCCTGGTTGATGGGCGGCCCCTGGAAAAGGTCTTGATCTTCTCATAGACCTCACGTGTCCAGAACAATGTGTCCTGCCTGACCGACAGCATGGCCGCCTTGAGGGTGTTGCCCTCATGCATCTTCTCGTGAATCTTTCGCCATGCGTTGCGTTCGGCAATTGCCAGGACGTGGTCCTCTGGCGGGGGAAAACGGCCCCCGATGTCCTCACCATAGAACCACTCGTACCAGCTCTCCAAGTCCTCCCGGGTGAT